AACCACAGTAAAGTTGATTTGTAATGATTTTTGATTTGAAAGATCTTTGCTTAGATTTTCATGTAAACTTTTGGCTTACTTTCAATTAAGAGAAATGAGCGCAAAATAAGAAATAAACACAAAATGATTTACTCGTAATTAACTGTTTATGACATGTCATAGATGCATATGTATGTGTGTGATATTTTTAACTCCTCACTACTCACCTGTCATGAAGGATAAACGCCGCATCGCTGGAAATGGATGATGGCCCGACGTGTCCAATATATCCAACTGATAGACCTCATTGCGTATGCGATAGAGTTTTCGGTGGAAATCTTCGATGGTTGGGGTGTATGCCTCCTCGTAGCGATTACCCAAAAATCGTGCCACAATCGATGATTTACCCACACGTGATGAGCTGATAAGCGAAGGCATCCGAAAAAAATAAAATAAACGAAAAGACAAAAGCGGTTAAGTGGTTGGTTGGGGCGTATGAGTAATTAAATAAATTCGGTTTCGACAGCGTTTGCTCATCATTTGCGGGCATTTCACTCTGGCAGGCAACTTTTTGTAATTTAATTAATTAAGAGCCAGATAAGCGAAATGATTGTGACTGTTCACATTTATGTGTTTGCGCGGCAACACACCTGAACCTATACCCATATACATATACGTATACAGTGGCGGTCAAAAATGGATGAATTGTGTTTCGTTTTTAAGATTTTCGATGCTTTTCAAGCTATAATTTTTATGATATTTTTTTATAAAAACCTGGTTCATGCTTTAACAAAAATTATAAAAATCCACAAACTTTCAAACTTTATACAGAACTTAGAAAAATTCCAAAATGTATCTAAATTTCGAGCTTTTTAACTAGAGTCTTTTTGGGTATGCAATCAACAAGCTTTTAAAATTCTGGTACAATGAGTGCAAGTTTTGAGCGGCTTTAAAATCGCATTGACTTTTGGTATTTTTTACGGCCTTTTCGGTTTTTTTTTTTTAATATAAATAGCGAAATTTAGTAAAACCGGCGTTAACTTTTTTAATTTTTTCGCAAACGGTCTTGCGCATATTTTTCCACAAGAAATTTGTGTTTATAAAAAAAAAGTGCGAAACGCCGTCAACAAAAAGAAAACCTTAAAAATCAATGCGATTTTTTAGCCGCTGAAAGCTTGTACTTATTTTACTAGAATTTTATAAGCTTGTTAACTGCATACTCAAAAAATTTCTAAAAATTCTAGTTAAAAAGCTCGAGATTTAGATAAAAATTTGTAGAATTTTTCTAAGTTCTGCACAAAATTGTGTGTGAAAGTGTGATTTATATAGTTTTTGTTAAAGCATGAACTATATTTTTATAAAAAAAATATCAAAAAAATTTTAGCTTGAAAAAAATTGTGAATATTAAAAACGAAACACCACTCATCCATTTTTTACCGCCACTGTATGTATGCATAGTGTAAGGATACGACTTAAAAACATACAAATAAATATATTCGTATAAATTTGTTACTGCTTCTGTATACATTGCCCTTTTCAAATCCTCTTTGCTTTATTTATGTTTTCCTACTTCGCATTTTTATTGTAAACTCTGTTTTATATGTATGCATAAAGATACCTTTATATATATGTATATTCATATGGCTTTATAGCAGTAGTTGCTTGTTTAGTAGCTACTGATTAGTTCGCGTGTGAAAAGGCACGTGCGTCGAGTGCGGCAATGAATTTCATTGTATTCTTCATTTCATTGTTAACGAGTTTATTTTTGTTTATTTTTGTTAAACGTTCTTTGGATTGAAGTGCTGCTTTTAAGGCGCACTTTAAGACTCTCAACAAGTTGAGAGCACTTTCACTTTCGACTTGGTAGTAAATATTTGAAATTTTCGGTGTTATAAATATTTAGTAAGCAATTTTTAATATTTATTAGCAATACGCTCACCCTATAACCATCAAAATTTATTTTTATATTTTGATGGAAACTTTGGTGCATAGCATATGGTCTCACAGCAGCAAACAACATACAGTCTAAGATCCGACAAGGGAACAAACTTCTCCCATCTGTTTAATTGATGAAATCTACTTTGTATTAAATTTAGCATGTTAATAAATATTTCGCAAGTAGGTTGGCTGAAAAAATCCTGAACAAAATATTTTTAATTAAATATTAAAATTTTTTATTTATTTTTTTTAAGTTTGCACTCAAACAAATTATATACCAATCGAAAGTATTATGGAATGTGAAAACGTTGGGTTGTCTATTATTTTCTTGGCCTACCTATCGGGTTGGCAGGTATGAACAGGTAAGTAATAATAGTAATTTTCTCTCATATGTTTAACACATTATTTAGGCTTTATCTATGATTTCGATTAGTATATATGAAATTTGTTCATTAAACAAATATGAATGCAAAATTTAAAAAAATAATAATTTTTGATTATTTAATTCAAAATATCCTAGCCAGAATTTTTTAGCCCATGTATGTATGTACATTTGTAACAAGGGAAATTAAAAGCGGCGAAAATATGAAAAATTAGTCTCCGGGAAAAACGACCTTGAGAGGAACCAATGAATTTAATATTTACGTTTTTTTATGCAGCTTAAAAATCTGCTTAAGTAGCATCGGCTAAATATGCGTACCGCTAAAATCTGATCGAGTTTTCGGCCCATCCGTTGTCTGCAATATAAACATATTTGGTATTTTTGTAAAGGTAATTTGCCCATTAAAAAGATTTAAGCCGATATTCCCCTATAAAATAAATAGCTTTTATGCTGCCAGGAAGCCACTGAAGTTAACAAAATCTAAGAATTTTAATCAGAGCATAGCCATGCTGAGGCTCTTCAAGGAAAAATTTCAAAAATGCATATGTATGTATGTAGGTATGTATGTTGCTTTGACATTTTTGTATTTCCATATGTGGAAGATCGATCTACATATCTCGGCAGCCAGTCCGAAAATGCCCTATCTCAGAAAACTTTTCAAAAACGCCCTGTTTCATAGTTTGGTTGAAGAACGCCCTATCTCGGTTTCAAATACGGTCCAAAAAAGACCTATCTCAGCACATTTTCAATAAATTTGCATTTGGGATAGGGTGGTTTTGAACCGAATTCTGAGTTAGGGAGTTTTTCAATGAAACACTCTGAAATAGGATGCTGGATGAACAAAACATTTGGGACAGAAATATTTCGCCATATTTTAGTTGGCGGTTTTGACGTTAGGAAATTCGTCCGAGTCCGAAAAATGCTATACCGGCTAAATTTAGTAGTGCTGGATGTCATGGCAAGAAGCGTTTTAAGGGAAGGTAAATTTTAATATTGGATATTTTTTTATGAAATACTAAGTAGTTTTGAGGAATCTGAGCTTTCCATTCATTGGTGTAACTAAATCAAAGTAACACGGATTTTAACACC